TATACAGAAGAGGGAAAAATAGAAAAGACAGTAATATCAAATCAAAAGACAGTAATAGCAAATCAAGTTTACAAAAAGTCAGGTATCAAATCAACTTAAAATTCCTTCAGAAAAGAAATGCAACTGTATGTAGTCTAAAGTTAAGCTATATACAAGATTTTACCAATTTAGTGAGCAGTCTTGGAAAGAGGGTGCTAGAGAATTTGACTGCAAAATACCTTTAATATTTGGTTCGTGTTATTCTTAAGCAGAAGTTAATAACAGTGAGTATGGATAAGCCTGTGGAGATGTTCTTTCATCTCTGGGGATGATCAAATGTGGGTAAAATACAAAATGTATTTTTGTATTTTTTGTCTGAAACTGTCACTCATCACTTTCAGACAAGGATACCAGCTTGCAGGAACATGGAAAGACTGGTCAAATAAGTATTTGCAAAATTAGGTGTAAATAGGCTTTCGTAAATAGGTTTTTCCTAGTAAAGGTAGTATAGGATATTAAACCATAATTAGCAAATGAATACAAACCTATACTAGTGGGAAGAATCCCTTTCTATGCAAGTGTTATGTATCTGTTTGATAAGGTATGTTTTAAGATCATGTTTTCAATGGAATTAAACTTATTTATCCTATGACCCAGTTTTCCTAGAGGCTGTAGCTCTGCAGCCTTGTTTCACTGCCATCACTGAAGGCAGAAGAGAGAGAGAAATCCTTTTGATTTTAGCAGGAACATTTGGGCAGCTGAGATCCGCCACAGGGCAATTCCACCACTTTGAGCTTTGGGGCTTGAGGGACCTCAAGACATTTCCTAGGGAAGTCTAAGGAGGATGAGGTGGGAAGGCTGGAAATGCTGTGGGGAGAGGGAATTGGTGGTGCAAGCTTGAGGACCTTATAGGTACAATGGAAAGACTGTCTCAGGGGCAAACTGGTAATGAAGGGGTGCTTGCACAATGGAAACTTAAGTGACAGGAAGCAAATTCATAGGAAACTGGTCTTCAGCCTGCTGCTCAAAAACAAGCTATTCTTTAGAGCCACAGCTGAGCTAGGAAAGGAAGACAGCATGTAGTGATGTGACAGGCACATTTCTGAGTTTCCCTAGGACTAGCCTTGGGGCCAGAGACTTCTTTCACTGCAGAGAGAAGGAGGATTTGCAGTGGGTCCTTTCTTCGGAAATATTGCTAACCAGTTGATTCTTTTTTTTTGTCTCAGTAATATATCCTAAGAATTATACCAGCTCACATCACTTGGCAATGTACTTATACAAGTGAAAATTAAGTAATTTACTGTGGGTTATTGTAGATTGTGAATAGTAATACTTCCAACAAATTGCAGTAGCAAAACAGGCTCTCTGCTGCTTTGCAATGCTTCTTTTCCTTCCACACTTTTCCTCTCACTTGAAAGCTAACCTCCTGCTTTAGATTACTCATTACAACAACTATTTGTGTTACAAAGGATTATGGCTTCCAAAGGTTACAGATGAACTGTAACCAGTGAGTTAGAATAGGAAAAGCACAGTTGGAGTAGAAATGTAGATCAGTAGATAGGTTTTCATTAGAATGAAGACAATAAAACACACCAGAATATACTTGCAATTGCAAGTATATTCAACTTTTCTACACATGACTCCCAAAGTGCTTGAATGTTTTGCTTTCCATTGAATCCTTTGTATGTGTTTCATTCCATTCAGACATGAGAATAGGGATCCCCTTATGAACAGTAGTAAGTGAACATTTCTGTTAATAGAATGGTACTGTTTACTTTTCCAGAGATTACTCATATAATTGTCTTTTTTTAATGTAGTTGTGTTTTTTGTTATAGATGCATATACAAAGTTGTAAGTGACCTAACTTTATTCTTGCTTAGCTGTGATGAGCCATCCCACTAAACTGTATTTTTAGACTTTCCTAAGGAAATGAAGCTTACACTAGTCATGCTGTCATCGTCAGCTGTCATAGTCCATCCATCTGTCCATCCTTGATAACTCAGCCAATTTTAGGCAAATTTGACAGACTGACAGAGATAAACTAACTAGTTTTCTCCAAGTCTGTGCCTGGGAGAGTCGTTGCTGATGTCCCTCACTGGAGGAGAAGCCAGAGCAACCCCAGCTCTTTGATCAGTCCAGGCAGGGCTGAGAGGCAGTGGGGCACCAGGCACTGTGCTTGGCTGGTCAGCCCAACAAAGGTAGGGAGGAGGCCAGCGCCAGGAGAGGAGGAGTATGCTTTAAAGGTATTTTGGAGATAGCAGTGGGGACCTGGAGATATGAGAAAGACCTGGGGATGTGAAAGCAGTCATACAGTAGCGGGACTTATTTTGATTTCTGCAGGAGATGGGGGAGGAAGAGGAGGAATAGCTTAGCAGGAGGTACAAAGAGAAAAACAGGAACAGATTTCCTCCATTCTGCTCATGGAACATCTTGTTTCCTCTTCAGTCATGGACACAGTTATGAATGTTGCAACCTGACATTAAAAATTATTCTTAGATAATGTGCATGCCCTTCGCTGTGCCTGATTGCAGATAGGTCTTTGCATAGTTTGTTCCTGTGGTCAAACTAACTGGAAAGCCTTTGGTGCCCATTGCTGCTATTGCAAAATCATTACCATGCTGTCACCCTTAAAAAGTTTGTTCACATGAAATGTTAAGCTTAAACTGAAGAACTCCAGTTGTCTTTATTGATAAAAATTAGAAACTTTACTATGTTTCTTTTTTTTTTTATTATTATCCCAAATTTGTAATGGTCTGTGTTTAATGGGCATGATGGGAAGTAACATTTGAAATGTCAGATGCACTATTGGAAGGTCTGTGAAAAAGGAGGGAATTTATGCAACTCCAAATAAAGAAAGGTGCTTGAATTATAACTTTTTCTTAAATGTTTAGATACCTTTACGAGATTTCAGAGGGGTTTTTGAGAAATTTTGGGGTTTTACCTGTTTGTCAACAATTTTTTGTCTAGATACTTAAGTTTATGGCATTTTCTTGCCATGCTACATCCTCATTTCTCACAGTTATCTCTGTGCTTTGAGTTTCAACTAGCTAGGCCAGGTACTTTACCATCCACTGTTTTTTTCATTAGTTCTTTATCGGTAATTCCAATAAGTGGACTGTGTATCTTCATTAGTGAGCTGATAAAAGCCTAAATTTTCATCTGGAAGGTTTCATCTCAGTGGAGGGCTTTATGTAGAGTGAATCTATTGAAATACAGTTGCTTGTTTTCCATGAATTTATAAAAGTAATTTCCCCCTTTTCTTAAGAGAATGACCTTTAAGTTGTGTTTGTTTATATCACTGTAATTTAATGCTCATTAGCTCTGAAACATCCTTGTCTTTTTGGTTAAAAATGATCTCTAAACTGATGAAAATTTCCAGTCTTGGCAGAGATCAGAGCCTGACCAGCTTCTGATTAGTACTCGCTTGTACACTCTTTTCCTGTGATTGTCTCCCCTAGCACAATAAGCTGCCTCCCTCATTTTGCCTGAAAGTGCAGCCACTGGCTCTTGGCTTAAGTGATGTAGTTAGAATGACAATAGGATGTAGCAGGCTCCAGCAGGAAACAAGACCCTGCTGGGGAAGGTCAGGAAACACTTTAGGATCATCAGAATTTTCTGCCATCTTCTGAGACTATAAGACCACATATTAATTAATATATTTTTAACCATTTTAGACAGAGATCCTGGTATGGTTATGTGTGCACTATTAGTCTGTACAGATAACTGAAATAAGCATGAAGTTTTGTGGTGAGCAAGCAGCTTTGCTGAAGATGTCCATTGTATATGCAAGTACATATATATCTAAATATATTTAAACACACTTTTTGGCAGTGGAGTGGCTGGATTGAATAGGAATGAATAGTTAAAAACAAAATAGCATGCATCTCCTTATTTCAGATTATTTGAAGAAACAAAAACAAAGTACCTTTATTCTCCATCCATTAAGTATTCTATAATCAGCATGTGTGCTCTTGTATCTCAGCTAAATCTCTCACCTGCCACCCAGGCTCTATGCATATGGAGAAAAGTACAAATGCTCCTATTTCTGTGATGGTTTTGCCTTCTGTCCCTTGCATGACATTTTGGTTTTGCTTGGTTGTGCTATACTGCGACATAATATTTTGGTTTACAGAAATTTTATAAGTGAATTTCACAAGAGATGGCTACTTATTCCCTTTATTTATTATTTTGTTTATATATAAACTTAAGTAGGGTTTGCTGCAAAAGTTTGAAAAGTACACCAAGTGTGTTGTGCAGTTTTTCTGTATTGAAACAGACATTAGTATGGTTTCCCTAATTAAAAAAAAAAAAAAGTGATCAATGTTATTGTTGTTTCTTCTGTACATTGTATTTAACACTATAATTAAAGCCATGACAGGACACCAGAATTTACAGATTATAGGGAAACAAATGCAAATGGTCTTCCTCACCATCAGGTTTCTGCTGTTACAGTACGTGATGAAATGTAGGTGAAAGAAGTGTGGATTTTGGAAGGGGGGTTGCAGTTGGAAGGAATTACAGCAGTGCCTGCCTAGGTACTGCCAGAGCAAAGAGAGCAATACAGTCTGCAGAGAAACTTTAGCTTTTATTTCTCTGCTCCTTAATTTTTGTAGGTTTTCTTTCACTTTTTGTCTGAGCCAAATTGAAATCGTCTCCAAAACTAAAAGGCATGATAATTTGACTGGAATTTAAAGATACATAACAGCAAGTTCAGAAATTGTTTCAGTGATTTAGCTGTTCTCCCGGTGAAGAAATCACTGTGTTTAAGTGTGTTTAAACTCTGCTACTTCTGAGAAGAGAAGTCATTATAACACAAATTGCGCTTTGCCTAATGGTGCATCAGCTGGATGTTAACGAGAATCTCCTAAAGGTGTTGCTATTTCCTGACTATGTAGTGTTACTGAAGTGATCTCCATTTAGCAGTGTTGTTGAAGTGAGAGTACAGCATGTCACCACATCCAGCTTTTGCAGTCTGGCGACAGGCATTCCAAGTGACCACTTTACATTTCTGTCTTTAACAGGCCTGGGAAAAACCAAGAGGAAGACGAGTGCGAGAGACGCCTCCCCCACTCCCAGCACAGACGCAGAATACCCTTCCAACGGCAGCAGCGCCGACCGCATTTACGATCTTAACATTCCCGCCTACGTGAAATTTGCCTATGTTGCCGAGAGGGAGGATGAGCTGTCCCTGGTTAAAGGGTCGCGAGTGATTGTCATGGAGAAGTGCAGCGACGGCTGGTGGAGAGGTAGCTACAATGGACAGATCGGCTGGTTCCCTTCGAACTATGTGGTAGAGGAGGTTGAGGAGGCAACTGCAGATTCACCCAGCTTTCTCAGCCTCAGGAAAGGCGCTTCCATGAGTAACGGCCAGGGCACCAAAGTACTCCACATCGTTCAGACACTGTACCCATTCAGCTCGGTCACAGATGAAGAGCTCAATTTTGAGAAAGGGGAAACGATGGAAGTCATTGAAAAGCCAGAAAATGACCCAGAATGGTGGAAATGTAAAAATTCCAGAGGTCAAATTGGTCTTGTTCCTAAAAACTATGTAGTTATCATTAGTGATGGTCCTTCTATGAACACTTCCCATCCACCTCAGATAAGCTACACGGGACCATCTTCTACTGGACGATTTGCTGGAAGAGAGTGGTATTACGGGAACGTTACCCGGCACCAAGCAGAATGTGCCCTGAACGAAAGGGGAGTGGAAGGAGATTTCCTTGTTAGAGACAGTGAATCTTCGGTAAGTGGTGCTCAGCCCGCAGGTTTTTAACTCCCCGTGCATGGGTTAGCAAGCACGGCACTTCACAGATTCCCTGTCTTTTCACCCTTAAAGAAGTGAGCAGGGCTTCAGCATTACCAACCAATACCTTCCCTGCCTGTGAGAATTGGTCTGTCAGTGAAATGCAGTGACATTTACACTGAAATTTAGCAGCTGTGGTCTGTATTATCCAGGGTTTTTTTAAATTTGTGGACAATCAAGTAAATATTTCAGGCTTCTATTTGGCTTTTCATGTGTTTCTCATGCAATCTTCAAATTTAAAGCACTACAAGATAAAATAATTCTAGGTGATTGAAAATTTGGTCGTTGATTTGATCTTAAAGCTATTTTCAAATAGAATCTTTGCATTGCTCAGTTTTGTTCTGCTTTTAATTTAATAATTGCGTAGTTTCTTTATTAGTTAAAATTCCATTTTAATGTAATTTTGATCTACTTAGATAATTTAGTTTGTAATAAGGTACAGTTATTATTGTATCTGGTCGTTATATACAACAGAGAGGGTCAAGTCAGCAGCTCATATGCCTTGTAAATTGAGCCTTGATGACATTAGAGGGATCTGAGTAAGGCTGGTTATGGTTCATGTAATTCTGAAAGTTCAGATTTAAAATTCAGCTGAAAGGACTTTTATGTATGCTGAGGCTAGAGAATTCACAGTTAAAGTGCTAAAATTTAATTATCCTTTGACTGTGGTTTTGAAAAGGTGACAGATTTTAATCTTACATCATACATAGCATTGAGAATGTTGACAAAGTACAACTTTGCAACCGTCCCAGATATTTTTATCTGAAGACAGTATTGTCTGATTAAATTTCAGGCACCTCTCCTTGATGAATTTGCTCTGCAAAAAACATGATAGCTATCGAGCTACCCTTTCTTTGAAACTCTATTGAATTCCTATTTCTGCTTAATTGTAATCACTAAACAAAGGCAAATGCAAATAAACCACAGGAGAGCAGGAAGAAAGTTAGAGATTAAATAAAAATAAACTAGAGGAAGACAGGAAGAAAAGTAGGAATTTAGAAATCATGGCCTATTTACAGAGGCTGAGAGGAATCAAGTTTGTTTAGTCAACAGAAGAAAGGACTGTTGTGGGACACACAGTCTTGTAAAATGTAGAAAGCCACTGAAGGATTATGGTAATCATTAAATTGCAGTAATTCCTTTTTTTCCCAACATTCTTTTTCTATCAACATCCTGTCAGATAGGGGCATACTGGATGTGGTGGATTCTTGGCATGTCAGTCCACCAGGTAGAAGCTCACTTTCAGATCTAGAGGTTGCATTATGATTTATCCTGAGACTGTAGCTATCCATTTCCTTTCATCTCTTGGGAGAGTGCCAGAAGGAGAATTTGAAAATTAATACATTACTTAAAATACAAAAATGCTTACCCATTTCTCAAGACATGACATGGCACAGGGACCACTGTGCTACAGCTTGGTTTTTTTAACCTTTAAGAGTCTGCCTCTATCTCTGGAGTAAACAAACTACCTTGAAAGAACACAGTAACCTTTTAATTTAATGTAACATCATAACTTTTTGCCTGCATTGTTGCTGGAGAAATCATTGCTTTGGAGTACAAAAAGATTCATTCAGAATGTGGTCTTCAAACTATTTCTATTATCTAACACTTAGTGGGATAACAGAAAATTTGTTCAGTTCATATCACAGCAAGTTTTTTGCACGCATGCAGGAAAAAAAAAAAGCACTGAATTGATGAACTTAGCATTCTCCCTTCTTTTTGTACTCTTTATCTGGTCTTGCAAACCCTATATTTGAGACTTTTTTTAGCAATGAGAAAACTGTAGTTATGCACATAAATGCCTCTGTGTATTAGTACTGCGTGTGAGTTTTAGTTTTTATTAGGTTTAAAGAAATAATTTACTGCATCTCAAACTTTCATCTGCCCTAATCTTTATATATCATTCCATTATATAGTGTGTTTATGTATGTGAATTATAAAACACTGGGGATTGCTAGTTTTTTCCCTGGAGTGCCACAAGTGATATAATAAGTGAATGGGCATACTTGCTAGAATTGAGAAAAGGTTCATAAAAATATGTTTCAAACTTATTATGTATGGAATAAAGAAAGAGTTTAGCAATGACTCATAAATTTCTGACGGTTGCTGTATTTCGCACATGTGACTACAGAGGCTGTTCATGCTCTGGCTAAAAGTCACCAGGAGTGTCTTCACAGTCTGAGCAGATGGTCTTGATTAGAGAGAACAGACTGAGCAGAGCCAAATTGTCAGCTCTCTGATTTGCTCATCTGACCACCAGACCAGCATTTCTCACTACACTGTGTTGTTAACTCGCCTTTAATGCCAGGGATGCAGGGGTTATTGCTTTCTAGAAAGGTGCATAGATAAAACTGAGCCATGCTCCTAATCCTGTGACTGATTTTTGACCTGTTTTAGAGTTTTCTATAGTCTTCCATCACCATAGTAACAAAAATTGGTCTGCATAAAAGTTTTCCTTAGATTTCAATTTTGCTCTTGTTACTGAGCTGTGAAAAGCTTTCCTTGGATAGACGGTTTGTATTATTCTGTATTCACTTGATGAGACTGTCGTGTTTTTGCATTTCAAGTGTTAGTAGTTGCAAGATTTTACAATATTTCTCTAGGTTTAACTTTTACAAGATGTTTATCTCACAGCTAGATTCCTTTAGCCAAAAATACTCTTCTCAGTAACACTTAGGTCTAGAGGATGCTACCATAGAGGAGAATAACCTAAGATGAACTCTATAAGGTAGCTAGGAGGCTGATTATCTCCATTAATTACGAAATACTATTATTAGAACCATAAACTTGTTTGAACCATTTAAGTCCATAGTTTATGTAACAGGCACAGTTCCCTACTGATAACATTTTTGCCAACTGTGTTATACCTAGGTAATGTCACCTTAGTTTTGGAGATCTAAAAGAACTGGGCACATGCCTAATTAAAAATACTGCTAACTAGTTCTTTCTGTTGCAGGCTGCTAGGTTGATGAAACCTGCAGTTTGTCTCAAGTATTGAGACAATGAAGAAAAAAAAGCAGATTTAACCTATGCAGTCTCTGTAGAGCCACTTTTTAGATTGCAGGCTCTTCAGCAGTCAGATTTTTACTCTCTTTGTGTGGTACCTAACCCAAGACAAACAGGTCTTGGCTGATACTAGTGGTCTTGGTTGGATGGGTGATTGTCATGCTTTGAAGATCTCAGATTTCACTGAGTACAGAACCAAATTTGGGTGAGAAAGGGTTGTTTTGTTCAGATTCACATTAGCAAACAAGTGTGCTAACTAGTACTGCAGCTAACAGGAAGCAGTAGTGTATCACCTCCAGCTTCTGAGCAGACCCTTTTCTGCAGACATCCTTAAACTTCAAAGGGAGTTTCTGTCAGAACTTGTGGGCCTCTTGCAATCCTCTCCAGGTGGGTGTGAAACTGGTGATCAGGCAGACACCAGTGCTTTGTAGTCCTATGTGGTCTTCTCATGAAGCAGAGAAGGTGTTATTTTTCTCAGACTATGAGTGAGCTATGCAAATTTTTGGATGATTTCAGGAGCAGTTATTTATTAGGAAGTAATGGCTACCTTCTGCTGGTATTGTCACAGCATTCAAATTGCAGTAACCCATCCTAAACAGAGTTGCAGAGTATAGTTTTAAGATGATGATTTTAGGCGTATTAAAATGATACTGAGGACTTGTAGGTATAACTGGATTTGTCTGGTTTTGAGATCATATTTAGCTTCTCCATTCTTTGTCTAGCAATAATGACAATAGAAGGAGGAGGCAGAGGTTCAGAGTTTGTATGGTTGTTGAGGTGCTAATTCTGTAGCATTCAGTGTCCCGTGTTTTCCTGGAGTTTTAATACTTTGACTGTTAACTAGAAGCAGTGAAATGTGGCAACTGTTTAGAAAGTGAACATTGGTCATGTTCTGTGACATGCAGTAATTGGTAAGTACAGCAGGCATGAGGAGAAAGTTTTTCTTTGGAAACAGGCATCAGGAAATATCCTAGTGGCTTATTTTAAATGGAAGAGCAGAAATCTTATTAGAGCTGTAGTTGAAGATCAGTGAAACCAATTCATATTTGTGACCTGTGTAATTTTGGAACATGACCATTACATAGGGAGGAGAACGGTATTTGCTTATATGTAAATGAAACAGAAGGGGTAGAAAAAGGAATTAACTCTCCCAGATAGCTCTTTCCAGCCTGACCTTAGATCTTTGAGCTATGACTTTGAGTTTTTTGGCTGGGTGATTGAGCAAGAGGAAAAGTGAGGGGAAACTTGGGTGTGGAAGTGGAAGGAGCTGGAGAGCCCCAGGACAGGCTCACTGATGGGATCTCAAAGGGTCTGGAATAGTTTGAAAAATGAACGTGTGAGAATATCTTTCTTGGAGAAAGGGCATTGGCAAACGGGATTGGATTAAAAGGGAAAATTTGAAATAAGTTACAAGATCAGTGAAAGATTTTCAGAGGGAACTGTTTTTCACAACCTTGCTATTTATAAATGATAAAATTATTATTTAATTCTCAAATTGAGGACGTGAAGAGGGAACTCTGTTTTTCCAGATTCTCTTGTTTTTCCCTATATTGCTTTATCACTTGTCTTCGTGGTAGTTTTCAATTGTTTTTGTTTTTTTTTAATATCATTCAATTCCTCACCAAAGAAATAAAGAAATAACTTCCTACCTTTTGTTTTCCACATGCCATAGGCACCAGCTAGCTCATGGTCATCTCTAGGTATAAGCAGGTGTTAAAGGAATTGAAAGCAATTCAAAGTATTACTACACCTGGACTGTTGGTTCATTTGAGCTAATCTTTAATTTTCTGATTTAGGAATTGATTTAACTTCAGGTTAGGTTTTTCAGGTTTAGGTCTTTCCAGTTATGGTGGTGCAAATATATTGTTTCTCTGCCACAAAGCTATGCTCTGTAACTCTGTTGCAGAATCAACTGTTCTGTACACTGAAGGGGTTAAAGCTTACTTCTGATGTGCCTTTATTTGGTGTATGCGAGTCTTTTATTCCTGGAAAAGTTAGTGTGTAAACATCCAAATGTAGCAATTAATTTAAGAGGGAGAAGAGAGAAAAATTGGCCAGCAGTTAGAACAAAATAGCTTAAACAGTAAATAAAATAAACAGACTTGGAGCAGATCCAAGGAGGACAGCAGGGAACCAATTCAAACTGCATCGAACCAGCATACTTTGAAATGAAAGTGTTAAGAGCAATAGTTTATTTCGATTTTTTTTTAAATAGTATTTTTAATGAATTTGTGTTTGTTAGGGCAAGAAGGAACCAAAATTAAAACAAATCCAATTGCTTTTGCTGTTCATTCTTGAGTCCTATAGAAGTTACCACTCTGAGACCAATAAAGGATTTCAGGATTTTTATAACAGCTGTTTGAGCTCTTCCATCTCTTTGCGCCAGATGATGACTCTCAAAGGAGTTAGATCAGCCTTTCCGCTTTTGACAATTTTTTAAATTAAATCAGCTAATGAAAAGAGTAAACTTTGTAACATATTCTGCAGAAAATACGGTAACGTCTTCTACTTATGTATCAGTCTAACTAGCAGGCTCCAGGGCTGTGAAGAACAGACAATAGTTCATGAGAAATGTTCATTCACTAGGGTTATACTCAAACAGGCAGAAAGGGTATTTAATGTGTTGTGTGGATCAGCCCACAAAGAAGTCAGGCCAATGCCCGGGTCATAGGACAGTAGGTCAGAGGTCCAGCATCTCTCTGCGTGTCATTAAGCACATCCTTTATGGCCTAGAAATAATGTTTCTTAGCAGATACAAGGAGCTTTGAAAACTCCTAATTCTGACATGGTAAAAACAACTGTGCTTTGTCAGAAAATATTAAAACTTCTTTGAGAGCAAAGTGAATATTTCACTTGTTTTTAAACTTTGTCCATAACATTGTTTCCTGTTCATAAAACAAGCAAACAAAAATGTTTAATTCAGTTTATGAACTTTCCATTTGTCAGTTCTTCTGTTTTAATTGAGAGCCTTTTGGTTACTGGTTTTTGTTTGGTGTAGGTATCACACATGAAAGCAGCAGCACTTAGCAAGATTTGATATTGTTTTTTGAGTCCTAACTGGCTAATCTGTACTTGCTGCCTCAGTCTATCCTTGGTGAGACCCTACAGACCTGCCTGTGTTCAGGGCACAGCAATCAGCACACTGCCCATGCCCTAAATTTCTCCTCCATGAGGCCAGGGTCCCAAAACTTCTGGAGAACTTTGTGCAGCCCTCTGCTTTGTGACTGTTTAATGGCTGCTGCTTGGAACTGTGGAGATTGCACTGGAACCAGGTCCCAGGCCTGTGTGACTATGGCTACTGGAGGGTTTGCCCACACTGCATTCAGGGCTTTAACCACAGCAAAGTGTTTGTACAGCCAGGTTAGCTTTAATCCAGTGGGGTAGGTGCTGAAAATAAGTCAGTCTTGGTGTGAGTTCTGTGCAGCCTTCTTTATGATGCTGCTGAGGCAGGGGCTTAATATCAGAGATAGCTGATTTAAAATAGCAGTTTTCATACTTGGAGTTAGGGATGGACCACAGGGCACAAAATGTATCTTGGGTGGGGCACTGCAAATCCCAAAGATACACTCTTCTGCACATTTCTTTCCATCACTTTCTCCCACCCTTCCCAGTCTCTTCTTGGCAGTCGCAGAGAGTGTTCCGTGTATTTTAACCAGTGGCTGCTCAATGCCTTCCTGATGGAGCCTGCGCTGACCCGGTCAAGGCCTGGTGACCCTGGAGTATAGATGGAACAAGTAATTTTCCTATGGGTGTTACATAAAATAATTTCTAAAGAAGTGATGCCTGTTGATCTGGAATGTAGTGGCTTGAGGTAGAAGAGGGTTAGGCCAAGGGTGTGGGGAGGTTGCTGCTGCCTTGAGCAGTACAAAAGGAGAAGAGCTGCTGCCCAAAGCCAAGCCTTGAGTCTGAGGCGTTGGACCAGAGCCAGATCAACAGGCATGGCAGGAGCTTTGTTTGCTGTGGGCAGGGTGCATTGAGTCAGAGGGAAGACAGAGGAGCATTAGTGCTAAAACAGGTGAGGAGGAAATTCAAGAGATGAGATTTTTGGATAGGCAGGACATGAGGGATGTGTGGGCAGAGACCCGTTTTATTGCAGGAATAAAGACAGCATATCTGAGAAAATGCTGTCCTCCAGCTTATTTGGGTATGTGCTTGGTGTGTGTTTGACCCCTCACAAATGCAGCGTAGAGGACTCGGGGTGTGGTTTCATGAACTGAAGTCTGGTGTCAGCAGTAACATGTGATGGCTCCTGACCCCTCCACTTGGTCCTCTGCTGTGCTCAGGATTGTTCCTAAGGCAGAGCTGTGAACCAGGTGGATTTTGTTTAACCTGGGCAAGGACAGGTTTGCAGTGCTGGCTCAGCCAAAGCAGCGGTGTGGTGGGGAGCAACCAAGGGGCACAGTAAGGTTGTGTCAGAAGCCTTCGGAGGTTTGTGCTTGAAGCCATGCCTCCAGTGGCCTGAGACACTGCAGCAGTACCTCCAGAGCAGCACCAGGCATTACTTAACTCCATTAAGTGCTTGTCACAAACTCCAGTGTTTTCTTTTTATTAATTTTCTTCTTGGCTGATGGCATCTACTTCCATACACCTCTCACAGGGCAAACCCATGCTCCCATCTGTCATATCCCACTCCTACATGGAAGGGAGCACCCAAGATTCATCAAAGAAAGACAAAAACCACGAGGGTTCAAAAGAGAAGCTCATGAAGTTTTATTAGCAAACTACACAGCTGGCATAGAAATTCTTGTTTTGCCCCTACTCTCTAATAGTAAAAGCAATAATAAAAGAGAGAATAAAGAGAAAGTGAAAGGGAGATGAGATTGCAAAGGAAAGGAGATCTGCGGTCCTGAATCCAGGATCAATCCAGCCAACAGGGTATCCAGGGCCTGGGCAGCACATCACCAAGGCTTTGTGGGGCTACCTGGTTATAGGTAAGTTTTTCTGTCCCTGAGATTAGGTTTCTTACTCTTCATGTAAATGAATTAGCAGGGGGCTTTTCTGGACCTTTATGGAAATTGGGGGGAGCTTTAAGGGTCTTTTGGTAGTCTTGATCCCCCTCTACTGGACTTGCCTGTTCCTTAACCCCATTTCTATGCCTGCATTATTTTGTGTTGTGTGGTCTCCATGGACCAGAAGAGGAAAATTGGCCCCAGAAGGGTGCTGCCCTACCTCTGCACATCCTGCCCTTTCCAGCCATATCCTTTTCTAACTTGCCTGCTTGAGTGGTCGTTGGTATTTGAGGCATCGATAGCCGCACATTAAATCTGTATTGCCCAGGCCTCTAACGCCATCTCTGTGGCCAGCCAGCAGCGGTAGGTGGCTGGAGACAAAATTCAGCTGGAAGCAAAGGACACTCTGTCCTTTCTACCCTGCTATGGTTGCATGTGATGAAGAAAGTGGAATGGTCTCATTGTGGCTGTTTGGATGACAGCACTCTCCTTGTTAAAGCAACTGATTGCCAGGATGAAGAGATTTCTCATTAGAAATTGTTATGTCCTGAGTAACTTAATTAGTGCATAAATTCTGTGTTTTGTGGGTAGTGGTGTGATGGTGAGATTTGTACGGTGTTTTTCTTCTTCTATAGCTTTATATTTTTTTACAAAGAAAGTGTACTCAGTGGGAGAAATTATTCCCTATACATGTGGTAATGAAGATAAAAGGTGCATGCGTTTTTGTCTTTTGCAATGCAAAGCAGGAATAGCCCTCTAGTGGTCACGACTTTAAAGAAAAGTGAAATGGGGAATTTTCTTCATCTGCCCAAGCAATATTGCAGTAATTGTTTTCTCCAGGCTGCTCTAGTGAGGAAGACGTGCATGATAAAAATTCTTCCCTTCTCCTTGACATTCTTGTGCTTCTAGATTGAGTAACTAAGATAATATTTGCAGTTTAGTCATGTAATTGGCAACTTCAGACTGTGCATCTGGGGAGCTTTCACTTAGCTGACTTAACTGCTCACGTTAATAACAATGGTAATTATTTATTGAATAATAGGCAATTGGGTTTCTTAAGTAGCTAAAGCACCGAGCTGTGGCTAATGTAAATTACTGTCAACTATATGACACTGTTTGTTCCTGAAACTGCAAAATTATGCTGTCATTTTGTTCTCTTCTATGTAATTTTTTCTTTCTTTCTCAATTCTTCTCAACAGCCCAGTGACTTCTCAGTATCTCTAAAGGCATCGGGGAAGAACAAACATTTCAAGGTGCAGCTCGTGGACAATGTCTATTGTATTGGGCAGCGACGATTTAATACGATGGATGAGTTGGTGGAACACTACAAAAAGGCTCCCATCTTCACCAGTGAACACGGGGAAAAGCTATATCTTGTGAAAGCACTTCAGTGACGTTGAAGATGGACTTGGCCACCTGGGCCTCTTATAACTTACAAGCCTTAGGTCCTAAATTCACTTTTATAGAGCAGAGCAATATCTGAAGCAAGCTTAAGGAATAGGCTCTTTCTAAAGTGTTTGCTCTGTCAGTTGCTGTTTGTCTTTTTTTTTTTGTTTGCCTCTCTTTGTGTTCCAGTTTTGTTAACCTCTGACCACCTCTCTTCAGGTTGAGAGTTTCCCTTGGGTGGCCATGGCAAGCACTCACCTTCCCAGCAGAGTTCAAAACGCCCCTCTCCTGTGTACGTTTACATAGTTAGCTCAGATCAAGGAGGGGCGTTTTCAATTCAAACCAGTGTTAATCTGTTCAGACTGCTCATGCAGGCAGAACTATCCATTCAGAGACATCGGGCACAGTTTGAATGCACTGAAGCTGCAGCTGCTTAAGTGAGAGAGAGTAGACATAACAGTTGTGGCTGTGAGTTCTGTAGCTATATCGCTTACCGAGTAGGATAATACAAAATCTCCTAGTTCCTAGAAGCACTCTTTACACTGTACTCTGCTGTTACATTGCCTCTCTGACTCTTCGTAAAGAGTACACTAATTAAAAGCATTTTGTAATAGTACTTCTTAAACTACTATGGTAAGATTGTAGTAAAAGAAAACTAGTGTATTTTGGTCTGTAATTGCAACAAAGAGAAATTTTATTTGAAAGTTGATTACTAGAGAAAGAATAATTGAATTGTAAAGGCTGAATGTTTTGGTAATCTACAACCAAATGTGCCATCCACATAATGCTTTTTCCTCTTGCCCTTCTGCTTGTTTGAATTAAACGATTATGTATTTAATTCTCAAAGTAATATGTATCTGTAGCTGATTGTTGACACTAATACAGAAGATTAATAAAAACTGATCTTGGGACAGGGTGGGGCGGGCTACCAACACTATATATATATTTGCTTTACGGAAAGAAATCTTCGGGTTTTACAGAGGATGGTGTGGTTGGTAGGAAGAGACGCACAGAATGTTTATGAAGAAAATGCATTTTTCTCTTTTCTTTACATTTAAACTCCTTTATGGTTTAAATATGCAGTCTTTAGATGGCACATTCCTGAGATTGAAGAACGGATCATGAGATCTCAAAATCTTGCATACTCAGTTTTTTGGATATTGTAATAAAAAAGGTATTATGTCATGACGGAGTACTGGATTTATCCTTGGGTGGTAGTCCTGGTGTTATTTTAGCAAGGTGAAATAGAGTGAATAATGAATTTGTTTGTCTTGGAATTTTTGTGGTCTAAAAAGAAATCATCTGTGACTGCAGAGGACAGTTTTAATATGAGGCAGTGTCTAATGAGCTCTGTGTGTCTTGTTGCTGTGATAATTAAGTCCATTCATAGCTTTAAAGAAATCTGCAAGATGGACCTATTTCCTGGTATCTCTTTGCTATTAAGACACATTTCTTAGCTATTCTGTGTTTCAGCCAGTAGTAGTGCAACTACCTCTGTGTATAACTCTAGAGCAGGTTAAGCAGATACTGCTCTGTCTGACCTGCTTTGGGGTAAATCATGCCACTGCCAGGAGACTGCACTGGCACCTTTGCCAGTGAACTGCAGTCTTGCTCAGATCCAAGAGGCAGGTACAATTTCTGAAGTTCTATGCATGTACTATTTTTCCACCACTCTTGAAATCTTATTTCTGTAAGGTTTTCTGAATTGACAGTTTATATTGGAACTGAAAAATGTATTTTTCTGTATGTGCATTAACTGAAAATTGGGCAGTGACACTTATGCTTGATAAAGCTTAATGAAAGAAAGCAGTGATACAGAGCAATCCAAAATGATCATACATTATCCTGAAGAGCACCTACCCACAACTGTCTTCTAAGAAGATAGAAATTTTCCTTAGGAAGTTGGTGAGAAGCAAGGTTTACAACTTACCTACAGAAGGACTCCACAGTGGGCTTCTTAAACCTTATGAGTGAATTCTGCAGAGAATGTAGGGATTTGCCTTCCAATACCTAGTTTTTTCTTTAGGTGAATCAAAGCATGTACCGGATATGGCAATAATATTAAGAAAACTATATGTTGTATGAGCATTTTCAGGTTTGAGTGAATTGCTTTTCAGTCTTGTCTCTTGGTAGTATTTGCAAAAATTATATATGGGAATGGTTTACCTTTTCAGTAAACAGATTACTCTAATTATTGTTTCATGCCCTGTGTTCATTTTTTTTTTTGGTGAAATATTCCCTATGTTTCCTGTTTCAGGAGCCTTCATATGCCTTTTGCAATCTTTTTTCACTTTTTTCTAGAGTCCATTTTTACAAGCTCTCTTAGTTCCTAACTCCTTTCTAATCTTAGTAGCTTAGAACTAAATCAAATAGACATCTGAATGAAGGTTTTACAATATACTTTATATTTTAATGGATTTATCAAATTTCCTTTGTTTGTTTTTGTTACCTCATCCTCTGTAAACAGCTTCTGTGTCTTGAAGTGTAAATTGTAAAGTGCTTTGTTTTGGAAGCAGTTAGTTTATGACCTTTAAATTACTAGCTCGAGTACTTTCTTTTTTTTTTTTTTTTTCAGGTGAGTCTTACCTTGGTTTTCCCATGCTGTATTTTATCAGCATGCTTCCTGTTCAACAGGCTCATTAATAGCTCTTCAGTTGTTCCCATTATTGAGATATGTTCATACAGATTTTGCCATCTTTTCCCGCCCTTTTGATCTCATTTGTTTGACTTGGCTTAAGCATTAATAATCTTCAGAACTATATGCTTCATAAAGAGCCAATAGATGTGAATTTATTATTATTTTCCTATTTTATATTCGCCTTTCAATTATTTGACAAAAATCTCACCTTTATTTTTTGACTACTTAGAGCCTCTTTGTCAAAGCTTGTGGTGGGGGTGGGATTATTTTTTTTTTTTTTTTTAATATGAGCAGAGTCATGGTGAGCTGAATTTCTTTTCTTACAGTATTCATTAAAGGCTCAAATAATTTCTGATGGAGTAGAAGTTGTGATTTTTCTTTATGGCGGTTAGTCTGACTTTTGCCATCCTACCTGATCCATACAGGTGCATGAGTTGTACTTTTAAGTCCTATTCCTGTACAGCTGGTTTTTTGCCTTGCTGGTGTCTTTGGAGGAATGTGAATGACTTGTGAATCCATAACATTTGCTGTACTTTTCACACATTGGCAGAAATTTTAGATCCATGTTTATAATTTTAGCTCTGGGAGCTTGATGACAAGCTCCCACTTATCTTATCTTGACTGTTTGTGGTGTGACATATCAGGTGGGCACAAATTAATAAAGGATTAATATAAGAGCACTGAGAACATGCCAGGTAAACTCACATGGACCTACTGTGTTATAAAAGCAAAGGATTTGCTTACTCTTTGCTTTTGAGGAGAGAAAAGGCAATAAAGACATGCAATTGATTATTTAATGTCATTGACTGCATGAACAAACTCTGAAGTCCCACACTTGAATGGTTCTGCTTAGTGTTCTCCATTCAGATCTTCATGTTTCATGAATGTATATTAAATCCTAAACGTTTACAGCTGTTCCTCCAAACCTGTATTGCAGCTTTTCTGTTCTGTAAAGTCTGGTGTCTGGTTTAATGGTTTCACTATGGGGAAATAGAGATCTTCCACACTTAGAACATAACTTCTGTTATAACACAAAGTTGAAGTACTTTCAAAATGCCACCATACAATTTCACCTATAAAAATGAGTCAGATTTTTGTCTAAATTGTAAATAAAAAACTAGAAAATGGATTACAGGTCCTTTGAACTAGGTCTGACAATTTACTTGGCAGAAGCTACAAAATAACTAAGTTTTCATTTCTTCTTGGTCTTAAGATAGTTTAATTCAGTGCTTCAAAGGTAAATGAGACTTGGGCAATCTACAATCTGAATATGACAGGTTTTCTTTTCTTATTCCAGTGGGATGGGATGACTCATTTTTAAATGGAAACTTGTTAACATATAATAAGCTGTGAAAATGGTATTGCTGAAGTAACACTGATCTCTTAAAGTGCTCTAGGAACTGTGAACTTTCCTATTAATTTCTTTTCAGTATATTCAAAATTCAGTGCCTTTTTTATGAAGTGGAAAAGTGCAAGCCAGCAAAAGTACAGCATGAACAGTCCTGAAGAGCATTACCTGTACCATGTGAATGAAAAGATGCAAGTAAATGCTGCCATTCATTCCCTGTTTTGACTAACAAGTAAATCAGTTGTGCAGTACTCTTCTAGAAAGTATACTGCAATTGCAACCCAAATGTGCAACAGCTTTAGTATGTGATAAGAAGGCCTAATGTATTTTCTTGTGCCAGTGTCTTGCAAAAGCACTGTGGTTTTTTTTTAGGTGGGCTTTCATGTTGTTCGATATAGTTACAATTTGTTGGAGAAATCAACACATAATGCTTTTTGACCTAAATTGACTTAATGTGAAAAATAATTAATATATGCTATACTTAAAACTATAGTATTTTCTGGTATTTTGTGTGCTGCTGGAACCCTATGCTCTTTTTTATTTTAAAATGTAATTTTTTTTCTGGCATATTCTTAGTGTGTCTTTTCTTGTTAGAAAATAGAATGTTTCCCCTGTTGTTACTTGAACTATCTACCCAGGCTGATACAGAAGCTGACTAATGGAAGTGGCATGTAGCCATTGACACATTAGACAAGTATTTCCTTGCATTTTCTTTCCCATGTGGTAATATTAAATGGTTTAAGAGTAGGAGGTTAAACAAAAAGAAAGAAGAAAGAAGACTAACTTGACAGATTATCTTCAGCAGTGGGAGTCCACAGTTTTGAGGAAACAGCAACAGGTAAGAAATGTTCTTTTCTATTTTCTTAAATGGATTTTGTTTGAAATTTAGCTTGACATTGTATGGCATGAGTGCATGAAGTAATACAATTATTAACAAATTAGTGCTGATTTAGTCCACTTTATTGAAGGAATGGGTGGATAAAGTCATTGATATCAATGTCTTAGTATATAAAATAGTCATCTTAAAAAGGAGAGAACTGGGATTTTGGGGACTCCTGTTGGTAGTCGGGCTTTTTGTTTTGATTTTTGAGGTAAGATTTCAAAAGAGGTGCCTTACTCCAGTTTTCAAGCCAGATTTTGCTTTTAAGCTTCTTCCCAAAACATCTCTTGAGTGTGGGCCAGGCCACAGGGAATGTGTTAAGTGGTATTATTCTCCCACTTGTAATTGAAACCGATGATGAATAATGGACTACTTTTTTTTTTTTTAATTTTGATCTCCATTAGATTGGATCATACATCTATATGGTAATTAATTAGTGGGTTCTGTGGGTTACTGACTTAGTTTTTCACCTGGGTTCAACTCTCTCAAGTTGAAATAAGCTTGATGAGGTGTTTTTTTTTTTTAATTCCTTTTTATGTCACAGAACCAGTAGTGCATTCAGTGCAATTATAATTGGTAATGCAAAGAAGCCCTTCAGTTGTGGGCAGCTGGTATGTTTGGAATACTAACTCCAGAGATGATGATGATGATAATACAGCCATAAAGAATTGCAGGTAAGGGCACCAGCAGACAGAGAACAGGCTTTGGCATCATTAACCAAGTGTCTTGATGATTTCTCTTTGTAGAATTAGTATGTTTATTTTCATTTGAGTATACATAGCTAATTTATAGAAGTTAAGCTTAACCCTTTTTTGGTGTACAGTGTGTTTCTATGTAAGTAAATTCGCAGGAATTAGTACTGCAGGAGAGGATGTTGAGGCCCCAGGAAAATTAAGTGCTCTGGTGTTTATGACAGCTTTCCTAATGAAAATCCTTGCAGATTTATGTCCTGGTGAAAAGTGGGGTATTACTTCATGTTCTTTGATTTTGCACTGGCATTGGCCTGTCTTTGTGCTGCCACAACCTGTCTCCACCAAAGACAGGGCAACTCTGATTATGTTGGAAGATACTTCCATAGTGTCAGGGCTCTTGTGCAGCTGGCTTGGGCTAAGCACAGAGTGCAGTAAGAGAAGCACAAGGTATTGAAGAACCCATCAGGAATGGGTGGGTGCCACAGAGAACTCACTAAACCTAGTTATGTTTGTCCTTTGCCCTTACTAATTCAGCACTTAATGCTGACATTATCAGTGTTGGATTTTTTGTGTTAATATATCTCAGGATTTTTTTCTTGTGCTATCAGAGATCAGATGTGTCACTTC